TTTTTTTTTTTTTTTTTTTTTTTTTTTATTAAACAAGCACACGGAACCATCGATTTTCCAATTGGAAATTAATTAATGGATTATCGAACTAGGGCTAAATTTCATTATCCTCCACGAAAAAGTTTCATCGTAAATTTTTAATATCCTCGAGGCTCCCGTTACCTTTCATTAACAACTTCTCTTCCTATTTTTTTTCCCCTCCCCTCGACGTTATTAAACATTAAAAATACCGAATTACGTGTGTGGCCAATGACTTCGATAAATCGTTCAACGAGATCTGAAGCGACAACGATCTATCTTGACATTTAACAAGACTTCCAATACAAATTTCTTTTAAGGGAGCATATACTATTTTTTAATAATTTCTTAGGGTGGAAAGATGAGAAAAAGAGTGTTTTCTCAAAAGAAGAAATCGTTCGATGGTCGATTTTAACAAGAGAAACACAGTATAATCCTTTTTGCTTCTGGTTCCCTTTCTTTTTTCTTTTTTTCCTTTTCTTTTCTTTACTTCTTATTCGAAGAAACGAATTACATAAACGATACAGCTGCAACGGTCATCGTTCCTAATTGAAATTTCTTCCATTTCTACCCTCGCCAGAACGTGGATCGTTTGGCAATTAATCCAAGACAATTAAACGACTCGTTAACGATCTTTCCACTTTTCCACCCCCTCTTGTTACCCATTCTACCTTGCTTGTAGGAACTTTCAATGCATTTTTTAGCGAGACAATAAAATTTTCTTTCTTCTTTTTTTTTTTCTTATGTGGAAAGAGAAATTTTTTTTAAAAAATTTCAAGCTACAAAAATCATCATTTACGTTATAATCATAATTTATGTTACTATTATTACGGTAAGATGAGTGAGCATCCAAATTGATCAAGTAACGAATTTGATTTGTCATTCATTTGCTGCCCAATCTAAAATGAAATCAAAGAATAAATATTCACAACGTTGTTTAGGAAAGAATAGAACGAGAATTGCACAGATATAGGAGAAAATATTTTCTACGAAAGCATCGCTTCCGATCTTGGACTAATTCCACTTCGTGTATCCAATTAGACACCAGTGCTTGGTTCAACAAGTCAACAACGAAACCATTCGCATCTCTCAAGCGCTAAGCGCTCGCAAGATCGAGTTCGTTAAGTTAGTTTGCACGAGTCACTTTCCATCACTGCAAAATCACCTTATTTATCTTATCTATCCTATATATACACAAATTTTGTAACAACGATCCGTTAAAACTTCTAAAAATATAATTCTCTTCCTTGATAATTGATAAATGATCGTGGAAAAATAGAGAATTAATGGAATGATAAAGATGATTTTTTTTTTTTTTTTTTCGATTTTTCGACAATGAAAAATACGAGACGATAGCTCGATTGCCAAACACACGAAATCAGCATTCGTGGTCCGTACTAATTATACCCCCGGCGCGATACGTTTATTCACATAGGCGAACGCGTGATCACGCAAACGCCTCGAGGGTTATATTAATCCCCGAACATCGCTGGCAAGCGGTTCAGTGTGTTTCTGGCCGTTGTTTTGTCTTAAGTTTTGTGCCCGCCACCATCTTGATCTCTGGTGAGGATTCGAATCACTCATCCTCCCTCTGCAACGTTCTCGAGGAATTTTCTTAATCTATCGGATCTTTCGGAAGCAACGAAGCCCATAAAACAAGAAAAATTTCAAATTCCATTCTCAAACTGTCAAAAATTTTGCAAGATCTCCATCTTCTGGAGAAATTTCTGAAGAGGAATTTTTAAGCCTCGATTCGAGATTCACCACGATTAGAGATCGAAATTGAATAAAAGTCGAAGCAGCAGTTGGATCAAGTCGTCTCGATTGATTTGTACAAGGATTGTCGAAGATCGGTTGGAGGAAGATCAAGTTGGAGGAGAATTGTAGTTGTCGGGGGGAGGAATTAGGAGGTGGATCAAGAAGTGAGCGGAGCGATGACACCATGCTGTCGATCTGGACCGCGTCGACACTGTCGATCGCCTGCGGCGAACCCTTCAAGTTCAAGCCTTCTATGCGACGCTGCCTTAGCTGTTCTTCCCTCGTCGACGGTAAATCGTGATCGAATTTGGATTACACCTGGGAACAACCTTTGCCAATTTTTCAATCCGTGTCGAGACGATTTTAGAAAAAATCTGTAAAAAAAGAAAGACTTTCAGGCGATTGTCAATGGCACAAGAATGATTGAAATATTTATAATTATTATTAATATATTTCTTATTATTTTTAATTTTATCAGAATTGTATTGTATCGTATGTGCTATGAAAACATCAATCCATTCTGTTGGTTAATTAGAAACGAAGAAGTGTTGTTAGAAGTCATTTGTCGATGGTTAAAAATACCCACGTTAATTTTTATGATGGTTGTTCTAATATGATTATAACGTAGAGAATAGCGTGCCTGTATATATAAGTAATGTTTGAATTAAAAGGCTAATCGTTTGTTTAATTGCAGGCCGGTTGGCAGCAAAGATCGCGCGCAAGGAGTCGCTGTCCCTGAAACTCGCCCTGAGGCCGGACAGGCAGGAGCTCATCAACAGGAACATCCTTCAGCTGCAGACGGACAATGAGAGGCAGGAAACGAAGGAGGCAATTGGTGCCAAGCTCATCAGGTGAAAAAATATTCTTTCTTTCTTTTTTTCTTTTTATTTGGAAGCTATATATCTATATATAGATCGTTAGAAATATTCGTTTTGAAATCTGAAAGTGGCATCAATGGGAAGAAAGTAAAAATCGTGCTGTTGTGTGTTCTTTGTCTGAAATTTAGAAGATTTTAATAGGATATAAGTTGTTGGTTAGAAGGAGGTGTAGGTGAGGTAAAAGGTTTCGTTAAAAAATTAAAGGGCATTCGAAAGTTTGTGTTGAGTCGTCACTCGCTGTAAGGAAGGGAGGAATCTCTGTAAAGTCTATTTAAAGTTTCGTTAAATAAAAGAGTAACTTCGTAAGTTAAATAAATTGTCTTGACAAGGGAATTATTTTTTTTTAAGAAATAAATTAAATTAACTTGAACTTTGTAAATTATTAAACAAAATTAGATATCACGTATTATGATATATCTTGTAAAGTAAAAATATCTCGTTAAATCTTAAAATTGTTTTTGCTTCGTTTAAAAAAAAAAACGAATAAAAAAAGGATGATTAAAAGATAACGAAGAAAAAGCACGAAGGGCGATTATTCGAATGCGACCTCGAATCGATCATCCGGGCTTTGAGATTTTATTTTCTTGGAAATTTCAAAAGAAGAAAAGCCTTCTCTGATTATTAAGAATTAATAATCAGAGAAATAAATCAAGAAATCTTCCATCGAAGATCGTTAAAATCTTCGATAAATCCTATTTCTCTTCGCTTCGTCTAAGGTAAATAAAAAAAAGATAATTGAAAGATAACGAAGAGCGGCACGATCATCCGCATTATTTCAAAATTATTATTATTTTTTCTTTTTTTTTAAATTTCGAAAGATAACTGTTTAACTTAAGATTAAAAATCAAATATCATACATCGTTAAACTCTATCGTTTTGATCGCTTAAAATAAATAAAAAGATAACAGAGATCTCTAATAATCGACGTCTTCATACATAGGAAAGCCAAAATCTGAACTGTCATCGATATCCGTCTGGCTGACCAGTTACATCCCCTTGAATCTGTGGAATCCTAAATTTAGGAATTAACCAGGAACGCACGAGGATTTGTTTCCTCGATGTGCGTTGTGCGTGTGTGACAATCGGGGGAGGTGAATTCCACCGATCGTGATTCACGAGTCTTCTCTGAATGGAGGATTATTATACGCGTGTGCGCGTAATTTCGAACGTCCTTGAACGCACACACGTCCATCCTATTGATTTTCCTTCGAAAAGGAGGGGGTTTAATCATTCATACGGATGGATTAAAATGGGTTCTACGTTGGTGGCCCGATGTTGATGGAACACGTAACGCGTTGGATTTGTTTGTTGAACCTATCGAGAGAGAGATGTAAAACGGTCGAAACTGCAATTATTCGTTTTTACTTATTAGGCGCGAGGAAGTGGCGTATAGCATAGTCCGCGCCTGACGCAATAGTTGTTGTTATCGAGGCCTTCCGTCTGTGTTATTAGAAGCCGAGATAAATTTAGATCGCGTGTTATATATTTTGTCTGGAGAATTGTTTGGCGAATTTTTTGCGTAGATATGTTTGTTGTGTTTCTGGATGGTTGAATCTTTCATTTCTATTTAAGAAATCTCGTTTCTTTAGGTATCTTGGAATATCGTTATCGAAGAATTTATATATTTAAACGATCATTTTCAAGAAAAAAAGGAAAGAAAAATTAGATACAATTTCTAGATCCATTTCTTTCCTATGAATAAATTTTTAATGCTCTTGAAAAAAGTTTTTTTAATACAATACAATTTCCTTAAGCCTTCTCTAGCTTCTCTAAGCTGGCTTCCTCTTCAAATTCTTTCTCTAGCAAAACATGTATTTAATATTATGTTGACGTCTGAACGCAAGTGATACTTGTACAATCCGTGGAGAGACAGGTGTCACCAGGAGGAGATTACATCGGATCACGGGCAGACAGTTGACCATTCGCATATTTGCGAATCATTCGCGTGGATTTTACACTCTCCCCCGACCGACCGCCCCTCCCTTTGAACCGATATCGAGAGAAAATCGGCTTACGAGCGTATTATAGAGTTGAACTGATTTCGCGTGGCGCTCTTGTTTCAGGCGGCTGAGCATGCGACCGACCCAGGAGGAACTGGAGGAACGAAACATTTTGAAAAGTAAGCTCTCCAACGTTTATTCTTCTTAAAAACGATCTTTTCTCTCCTTGCTCGAAATCGAATATGTGCACGTTTTTCGTGTACACATTTTGCGCGATACGATAAGATTTCCCGGGTCCGATGTTTTGGAAATTTTCAATTTTCTCGAGCGCGCGATAAAACGTGGGGGTATAAAATACGATATAAGGTATAAATCTATTTGCAGAGCAAAGTCCTGCAGAGGAGAAGAAGCAAAAAGAAGAGAAGAAGCGGTATCTGCTTCGAAAGCTCAGCTTTCGACCGACGGTTGAAGAGCTCAAGGAGAAGAAGGTAATATCCTTCGTTTCTTTTTCCTTTATAGGAATAAAAGTATTTGAGGAAACGGAACGAAAACTTGGATTTCTCTTTCTTCGAATCAGATTATCAGGTTCAACGACTACATCGAAGTCACGCAGGCTCACGACTACGACAGAAGGGCCGACAAGCCTTGGACGCGGTTAACTCCTAAGGACAAGGCAGCCATTAGGAAGGAGTTGAACGAGTTTAAGAGTTCGGAGATGGCCGTTCATGAGGACAGCCGACACCTCACCAGGTATGCTGACCAGGGATTCAATTTCTATTTTTTTTTCGTCTGTCTTTTTTTTCTTTTTCCTTGAAGTTCGAAATAAATTTACTTTTGGAATGAAACTTCGATATCGAAAACTTTAAAATAAATCGTGAACCGTCATCGATAAAGATTGACCAACGTTGTAAATGAAATAAATGAAAAAAAGATTTTTCATTCCATAGAGATTAGAAATTTATTTCACGAATCTTTTTTTATTCAACAAATTCCAACAACTCCAATCCCAACGATATACTCGAGATACCTGAGAATATTTGTATTGTATCCTCGGTTGCAGGTTCCATAGGCCATGACAATTGCAATGTGTTGAGGTGCTACAGTGTGGTGCGGGTATAGGTGAAGGTG